AACCATTAGCAATAAAAGGACAATATTTTCTGCTCGAACGTGTGTTGCAGACCGTCCACTCAGAACTGCGCCGGTCTCTCGCCTCACGTGTCACGTGACCTAAACGTAGCTGGCCAGCTCACACCGTCTTCACTGCGGCAGACAGGCTGCGAATTACCGGCTGAGTTTACTGAGCTGCAGTTTGAAAGGCCGTTACCGGGGTGATGCTAATGTAGAAGCTATTGAAGCTACATTTATAAAAATAAACGAGGAACTGTGATACCTGACTGGCTAAAATATGAGTCGATAATTATGTCACTGCAGAAAGTAAAAAATAGAGAAAAATGCCATTCTAATATGGGCTGAAATGAAATACCAGCATTTGGGGACAGGAAATCCTGGATTTTACAGTTTACAGTGAGTCGGGGAAGATCTTAAGAAATTTTTAGCCAACTGGGTTAGTTCAGTAAAAAATGTGACCTGGCATGCAGTCTATTCCCTAGCTGGAGGGCTGATGTTCACTGTTTTGTACTTGCCCTTTGTCTACATTACTCGCCTCAGGCGAGTGAACGAGCTAAAGTTGCGGCTCTGGTTTTGGGAGCTGATGCTCCTACCAGGAGGATGGGAGCAAAAGGGGGAAAAAAAACTGAAAACGCCAGTTTACATCCGTCACAGTGAGTGAAGGACAGGTAGAGTGAACCATGGTCATGTGACTCCAACCTGGTCATGTGACTCTCCTTCCCCAATCTGTCGATTAAATGGCGAGATTTATGGTACGTTAGGGTCCTGCACCTCCTCTTTTTGTGAGCAGTTGCATCACAGACAGGCAGCTGTGCTCAAAACAGGCCTCTGGTGATTCCCTCTCATATGAGTGATTTGCTCAAGTCAGGAATTAGAAGAACAGATGTATTAAGGTATAATGTTTTTCAGTGCTCTTTTGTGACTCTGGCCCATCAGCATTGTGTGATTCCTCACTAGCAATGTCCGCTCTGTCATGCTATCTGCTAATTATGGTTGTTGCTCATTGTAGGAAGTCCTCCTTCACTCAGGGCCAATTAAGTAAACCTCCAGATCCAGCAGGCGGGAAATGGGTCCGTCGAGCTGAACTGGGTTGTCGTTGACGTCACTGAAGGTGGCCATATGTTATGTAGCTCAGTGGGTTGGGGGTCTGTGTTCGTGTCTGCAAGACTATGGGTTCAAATTGCGTGGCCAGCAGAGCGGTATGTCACCGTTGGGCTCTTTTGAGCAAGGTCTGTAACTTGACTGTTGTAAGGGATGTTGGCTGACACTGCCAGAACTGGATTAGAGACCAGACCAGTGGGGGCAGTGCCCTGGAGCCTCGGGCTGGAGGTGAACAGGTATAAAGTTCAGGTCCAGAAATTAAAAATCCAGACCAAGATTTTGTTTCAACCAACCAGCTGAGGACTCGGTCACTGGGACTGTTTATACTCAACTGATTGGTTGGAACAAAACCTTGGTCTGGACCTGAACTTTCCAGCTCTGGAGGTTAACCATGAGGGTCCCTGGCATATGCAGCACAAGCTGACCACCAGAACCCCTGGGGCCCTTTCCACATACAGTGAGAGTTAACCATTAGGCCTCCCAGTATCCAGACCCTGTACATATGTTCGCGATACCACTATGTTCCCCCAACGACCCACCCACCCGATGACATGGGGGGCTTCTAGAAGACAGGAGCCTCACAGGACCGTGATCAGACCATGAGCCCTGATCCATAATCCTCACCTTTGTATCTCTGTAGCCAAAAGTATCTGATATGTCGAGTGAAGTACCAGAGTTCTGCAAGTGAATCTTTGAAGAACCATGAAAGTATTAAGTTCTTAGTTCAAAGAGTATTGATGGGGTCGTTTCAATAAGAGTATTTTTGTTATCCCGCTGTATTTTTTTTTTCATTTTCTTTTTATTAGAACAATACTTTCTGTCTGACACATTTAAGGGAGACAGGAGACTACTGAGATGTCATTTTGGTGTTTTACTGAGTATTGTAAATGTACATGATTTTGTAATCAAAAATACCAAATTTATCTGTATGGAGATGACCTGGGTGACCTATCTATCATTGTCATTGTTTACTCCGTTTAGCTATAGACCATAATTCCATTCAGGCACCAGAGTCAGGAATCTCTAGGGTGAGGGAGAGTGAAATGCAAATCTAGTGACCGAACCCGTGATTGGACCCTCGTAGGACGAAAGTGTTGACGGGCAGGTGAACAATCACAGACACTCCTGTTTGGGCATTCTGTTTGCGTGCCGGCAGGCCGCTGGTAATCCAGGGGCGTGATGATGGATTTGACTTTGCTTACCTCTGGCTGTCATGTTCACAGTGATGTCTGCTTGTGCCCAATATCATTCTACGAGTTGACCATGTTTGGCAGGAATCAGAATCGCTTCAGAAACGTCGGATTAGAAACAAACCACTGTACATCTTACTACTGTGTGGAGCATCACTGCTGGCTGTTGGTCATGATGATCATAGCTGAAGATCAATGACTTCAGAATGGTGCTGACAGGCCACATTGTCCCAGATGTGCCTCATGTCATTGAAGCCAATGCTGTAAGCTCCTCAACTCACCTTAGCTGGCCCGAGAGAATAGCTCCGCTGCTGATAATGTGATACCAGGGGTCAGCTCTCTACACATGAGGGAACACATCCTAACTTTGGGCGCTCTGGCTTTGCATGCATTCCTACCCAGGAGCCAAAAATTAGAGTCACATCAAACTTGGATAATTTCGAGTTTTGTTGCCGCGGGGCATGCTGGGTAAACACATACGTGACTCTGGGATAGCCCTTTCATAACTATCAGGAAGGAAACCTCGCATCAGCTCTACGATAACATGCTGACACGCTTTGTTTCAGTTTGCCTTCGGGTCAAATACCTTGACATCCACCTGGTTCCCTTGTCCTAAGATTCAGAGCTATGTGCCAAAGCTGGTTCCAGCATCAAAGTGTCTGTGGTTCTGCTCTTTTCGAGCCCTGGAGTTTGACGCCTGTACGCCTGCGGTTCATCTCTGTTTATCGTGAACGCCGACATTGTCAACATGAGCCAAAACAAATACTTTTTGTGTATCCGATTTGCGACCGCAGACTCACACCGGCTCTGTCAGCGGGGGGGGGGGCAAAGGTCAGCTCTGTGCCACTGCATCTCAAAGGCTGTACTTCTCACCTGACCTGCTGGAGCTTCAGAGACCTTCATCGCTCCTGTCAGCATGGGGTCGCTTGTGTAACCTATCGGGGACACTTCTGTGTCGGGATACCAGCTTTTGGTGCAGAAGTGGAGACATGGGACATCACTGATTGGTAACTGTGCCCCACCACATGACTGAGAACCGATCACGGCTCCGTCTTTGTTCAGCGAAGTCCCGAGTTGCACACCTCTGTGTGTTTCCTGCCTGGAATGTCTTAGGATTTAAAGGAATCCTCCTCTGTTCCCAAAACTGGGGGTGGGTGTGCTGTTTGCGTGCCATAACCCCCGAAGGATCAAATTAAGGAGAAGTTCTTCTGTGTTTGTATATAACGTTTCACGCAAGCTCTTCCTCATTACAAACAACAGGGTACGCTATTCCAGACCGTTTAAAGACCTTTAGGAAAGGTTTTCATAACACTTTGTTGCATGTTTATTTTTTCTCGAGAGAGGAGAAATCTACATACGATTGACATCGCATTCAGACATCGCATTGAGAGTGTCCCCTGCCTGTTACCCTGTGTTTCCTGGGATTGGATCCAGAACCCCCCCCCCCCCCCCCCCCCTGTATGGGATAAAAGGCTGGATAGTTGGATGGAAACCGTACAGCATGCTTGTTTAAGGGCCGTTGGGGGAAGCCGACGGTCTTCAGTGTCGTCCTCCGTTGGCGCGTTATGTGTAAACAAACAGAAGCCGCCAGCGATGTATCCTGGGGTATTAGGCCAAGCCAGAGCGTGAAATGCATTGGCAGAGGCCACTGTGGCCATTCCCCTCCCAGAGCGGAACATTCTGGAACGTGCATTCGTGCATCACAAGGGGGATACAGAGGGGGTACGCGACTTTTAGGGCACGAGCAGGATTTTAGCCTCAAGCACATTTTCAGCCACTGATATCGATGATTTTCAAGCATGTTTGAGGTTGGTGGGGAAAAAGCTGATTGTGCATTTTTTCTTCTAGAAACTTCTGGTCAGGCGTTTGAGCCTTGTTTACATTGTGGTCTCCATGTAAACGGCAAGTGGTATGTCGCTGATTGACGCAAGATTCATGCAGCTGTGCAGCTGGACTGTTGTTTTCTGCTGCAGCTTCGGGGGAGGGGAGGGTGGGAGTAGTTGCATTGTTTTTCGTCTGTTAACCATTTGTGCTGAAGTTTTCCTTGGGACCATAACTTCAAAATCACAATGCACAGTGTTTACAGAAAACAGAAGACATCCTCCTGGGACCCTCTGGGCCCACCGTGTCTCTGTCAGAATCATGGACGGCTCTCGGCAACGTCAGCAGGGACATATTCTGGGGGTCTTTTCATTAAGTGATTTAACTCATTCCTCACTAAGGGCAGCTCTTGGTTACGCTGATGGGAATTGTAGTTTAAAAGAATGGTCCAGCTGCTGGGAACTGTAGTTTAAAAGAAATATCCTACAGGAAGTGGTTAGGTGCCATTATTATTGTTAACAGGACAGGACCTGAGCTGTGGTTTTCTTGCCCAGGTGTGAGCGATGTGTAGAGTTGGAAGTTTTTACTCGTTCTGAACACGTTGGGCCGACGACATCAGTTCGGTGTTACCGATGAAGAAGAGTCGCGCCAGCTTGGGGCACACGGCTGTACCTTGCCTGTCATGAAGGAGGGTCCAGATGGGGGGACGGAGAGGAATTCCTGTGGTATCTAATTGAGCTTTAATAGGAGGGTCGGCCTCCCTGAGGTGGTGGGACTGTCTGATTCATATTGCTGACCCCACCTCTTGTTTTTCTCCCCCCTTTCTCTCTCTCTCTCTCTCTCTCTCTCTCTCTCTGTCTCTCTCTCCGTTCCCCACTTTGCCTGCAGGTGGGGGCGGGAAGAGGAATGGCCGGAGCAAGAAATGGAAAGAGATGTTGAAGCTACCGCACATCAGCGAGTGTGAGGAGCTGAGAATGACCATTGGTGGGTAGGGGACCTGTGGGGGATGGGGGACGGGGGACGGGGGACAGGTCTGTCCATTGCACGTCACAGACAACTAGTCCCTGATTGTGGCAAACCTCTCCTCCGATCTGAGATCAGCAGAGGGCCAGCAGTGATCAATACAGGCCTCTTTGTGTTTAGAGCTCTAAAGGCTGTACCTGAATCAGAGGTGAAAGGTCACGACCTCTCGCTGCATTTCCTCCTGGGGGAGGGGTCTCCGCTGGGCTAAAGTTACATTCACGCCACGAGCGGCGAGAGCATCAAAGCGACAGGAAGTCATTCATTCTCTATGGGAAGGTGCGTCAGCAGACGGCACGGAGCAGCGTGGTGCGTCACCGTTTGGCCGGTGAGAGTATCAAAGTGTAGTCGAAGCCGGGTCCACTTTATGGTCATGAGCTGTGACGCGGTTTGGAGGCAACCAATCGGAATGTAGAGATGCTAACATCAGATTAGTGCTGCTGTCAGGATTCAAACTGGTTTTTCATGTTTTAGGGAGAAAGTTGGGAAATACGGTGTCTAATGTCCAGACATGTCCTGTCTGAGGGTTTATACCCGGTGACATTATGTAAAACTGATCATCGCCATAGCGGGGTTCCCAGTTATTTATAACTTGTCCCTTTTTGCATAGACCAAGCTGTCTGAAATGATAGGTGTTCGAGGTGAGTTGGTGAAGTGTGTAATATATTTTTGTGAAGAAAGGATGGAAATCCCGTACGAATTTTGCCGCCATACCGTTGGTATCGTTACCGTTAGTGCAGGGTTATTCAAATCACGGTCCTCGAGGTCCGAGCACTGCTGGTTTTCCAGCCTTCCTTTACCTGTCAGTCAGGTGTGAAGCCTCTGACCAATCAGAATCAGTAATTATTAAACTAACTACCTGCGAGAACTGAAAACAAGGCCTGGATTTGGAACCGAGGTCCAGATTTGAAGAGCCCTGCGTTAGTGTTTGTCAATGTTCATGGACAAGTGATACCATATCGGCAGTCGGCGCAAAGATAAGCTATACATTCGTTTGCTTTGCGACTCCTTTAAAAAGTTTTCAAGACGCAATGTGACCCCATTCTGAACAACCTTGTCGGAGAGCGTCAGAAAGCGTCGGATAGCGTCAGAGAGCGTTGGAGAGCGTCAGAGAGCGTCCCCAACCTTTGCTAGAATTATGGGCAGGTCGGCCAGAGCGATCGCTAATGCTCTCACCGCCCGCGGTGTGAACGTACAGTAAGGCTCCACTTAATATGTTTTATAGGCGATAAATTATTGACTTTTTTTTCTTTTACGGCTGGTGTCCTCAGATGCCCTCGCTTAGATTCTGTGACTCTCCCAGACGGAGCTGCTTAAGTTACTCTTACGTTGCTGCGCTGCTCATTATTTTCTAAAAGCATTTTACCGAAATGCTACTGAGTCTTCTGCAAGGGTGGGGGGCAGCATACAAGAGAACACAATGGATTTGATGTGGTTTAAGGCATGTCTGGCATATCGATGCTTCTGATGACCTGCAGGGAGATTCTTTCCGGACCGGTCCACCTTGCCTCCTTCGGGGGGGGGCAGCTAAGCTGACCTGGGTTGTCCTCTGTGACCCTCTTTGGGGGCGGGGGGTCTCCTGGCACTGGGTGGCCCTATTCACCCCTTGCAGCTGTGCCCGTGCCGACTGTGTCAGCAGAGACCAGATGTTGCCGCGATTAAACCGTTGATCTGCCGCATTCCTCCTACTACTGGCGAAGAAAATCCAAATTACCGTAACTACAAATGACAGAAGGGTGCCCCACCAATCAGGTCGCAGAATGAGGACTGAGTATCATAGATGGGCTGCGAGTCCTGCATTAAACAAGGCTGCGATCTTCCACGTTTGGACAGGATCGCCTCCCCCTTCAAAACAGGAACAACTGATTTTTCTGTTCTGCTTTCTAACCCTAACCGTTTCCACAAAGTCAGTTTAGCTTAAACTTTTGATTTCATTAGCCGGAGGGAGGTAGTTTTTGTAATCGATGGTCGCTCACAGACAGGTACCAAGGGCTGCATAGGGACGATTCTAGGACTTTTTTTTAAGTTGGGGGTCATAACAGGGACCAACCTTATCATTAACCAATGATATGTTTTGAATCTGTGAGTGACAGGGGTGGGGGCACTCTGGGTGCCAATCAGCTTTCAGCCGGGGCCGGTGCCCCTGTAGCCCCGCCCATGTATATGCTTCTCTGGAGACCTGTTGTCACCTGACCCCTCGGATGTGGCACAGCTTTGTCCCAGTAGCTGGTTGATTGACAGATCTCGTGCCCCCCCTTCCGCCCACCCGCTTCACCCCTCTGATTACTCCATCTCTTTGCTCAGAACAGGACCCCGTCGGGCGATGCCATTGCGGGCACGAGATCGCCACTCTGTCACCCACGTCCCGGACGGCCAGCTGATTTACCTTCGTTGCCGGTGTGCCTATACAGGCCCTTTGAAGCATATCTCCACCTACCCCTGGGGGACGGTTTTCCTTACCCCATGATGTTTGGTACATGCCATAAGATCCGGGACGTTTTTTTCCAAAGTGGGGGTGGCGGCAGAAGAGGGGGCGTAATTCATACAGGATGGCCAACCTTATCATTTGCATTGAAATGTTTTGACTCGGTGAGTGACAGGGGAAGGTGCACTCTGGGGACCAATCAGCTTTCAGCTGGGTGCAGTGACACCGTGGCCCCGCCCCTGATGAGAATCTGCTTTTACTGACCTCAGTAGTTTATTTTCCCCCAAACCGAGCGCACAAATGTTTCTGGAAAGAATAAATTTAAGCGTACAAGACCCATCAGACAATGTAGTCTCCCATCACGGCATGAAAGTGCCCCAACTCACCCGCTACTTGCCGTACTCGCCCCGTGGCTGGTTTGAGAACGTTTCCTAGAACCGGAGGCACAGGACGTTACCAGCAGGGTGGATGCCAGCCGCTGGCGCTGTGCCTCCCTTCAGGAGCTCCTCGGGCTCCGTTCCTCTCGAGAACGCTGGGGTGGGGAGGGTCAAAAAGGAAAAGCTGTCCAGGGAAATCTCGGCAGGAAACCATCTCGGAAATGATGTTTCTCTTGGAGTGCGCCACTTGGCTCCGGGTGCGAGGCCGTGCGAGGCCGTGCGAGGCCGCTGTCACGCATGTCGCTCCTCCAGAATTCCAGGGGGCGCCCTCGTTCGGGAACAGGAAGGGTCTTTGTCCGGACCTGCACATCTTAGGTGGGTTGGGGGCAGGGGGGGATTTCCACACAGGGATCTCACAGTGCGATCCACATTCTGGCACCAGGACCTTGGCCCCCCCGTCTGGAGGACAGTCTGTACCTGTTATTATTTTCTTAAGGTGCTTGTGAGGGTTTGCCTGCTACTTTGGAGGATTAATTTTTGTTTTTATGCAATGGGGGGATCGGCGGGGGGGGGGACCTACTTTTGGAACGTCATAGTTCATGTCACATCTTCTATCTGCATCCATCTGGAAATGGAAAAGTTGGGGTAGGTTTCAAAATAAAGTTTACTTCCCCCCTATCATAGATGCTTTCAGTTTCAGCTTACCCCCCCCAGACAGTTAGTAATAAACAGGAATTATTGCTATGTTGTGAGCAAGTTGGGATTTTTATTTCGTTCAGGCTGAGCTTTAAGGCCTGGAATGACAATTATGAGGGTTTTAGTGCCCCTGATGGGTCGAACTTGCTGGGATTTATACTCGTGTGTTTAAGTCCTGAAGTTAAAGGCCCGACACACATGTATGTGCTTCACATCGCAAGCAGCGATCTGCGGCAGGAATTCTGCAGTTTCCTTCCCAGTCCTCATGGGTGGGACTGGTTGGTACGCAGATAAGTTGTTTACCCACTGCCTGTTTTTGGGAATCTGGCAGAAATCTTCACTCCGGTTCTGTCAACAAACACTTTATTTAAAACACAAATCCTGTGTTGGTCACTGTGACATTATGCTCTTCTGAGCAGTGAATTTGTTTTAATGTCAATTTTTGGATCCACGGATAAGCTAAAGAACAGGGATGGATGGATGAATAGATTTATTGAAGAGCTTTTCAGGTTCTGTTCTACTCAGATTTGTTGTTGCATTTTGACAGACTCTGAGGATTATCTAGCCTTGAGCCTCAAGGCCTCTAGATCTTGAAGGGTTATGTGTTCCAGGGAAAACTGCTCAGAAGTTCGTCGCCCCATATGGGTCGAGCAGCGTGTGGGTGCTTAATGGGCTGGCACAGTCATGGCCCAGAAGCGCCCAGTCTGGAGAAGCCATCTCCTAGCTTTGGAGACGATGCGTCTAAATCAAAAAGCAACGTCATTGAAGTTCGGAAAGTCTGGCCATTCATAACGTGGTCATGTGTTGCAGGTTGACTCTTGTGGTCTCTGAGAAGCTTAGCGAGAGCCTCATTTAGACCTTGTAATAGCTGTGACCTCGTTTATGGTGTCTGATGCGAGCTGCGCTCGTCATACGGGCTGTTTGTGACACAGGGCCTGGCCACCGCCTCGGTCACCTCTCGACGGGATGCTGGTAGCCCTGCGTCTCCAGAAATGTGTGCTATCGCTCAGGTATCCCGTTTTGTATTCTCCGCATTTTTTAATTCAGATGCCCACGTTCCTCGAGCTTTGCAGTTTTTTTTTTTTAATTTAGCTAAGGAAGAAGCGTAAAGTAATCGTTGCAGAGATCCCAGTATGGCGCCCCTTACTGGCCAGGAACTGAATTGCAGTTGTGGTGGGGGGGCTTTGCTGTGATGACTGGGGCGAGAATGTCATCTGTCGCCTCTTTTTCTATTTTTTTTTTCTTCCCCACCTTCTGGCCACACCCGAGGGTGCGATCGCGTCACGGACAACGACGTCACAACCTGCTGTCCTTCCTGGCCTCCGGCCCTTCCCTCCATTTCCGGCCTGCCCCCCCCCCCCCCCCACCCAGGATTGAGACCGAGGTCACGTCACACCTGTTCCCCGCTCTGCTGTTGCCCCCTCCCCCCAGATTCCGTTATATAAGCTTTGTATAAGGAGGGGTAATTCTCAGAAGTAGTCACGCACTGCAGTTATGCAGCTATTAAGCTAAAATATTTATACCATAATGTGCTTAGATGGGCTATTATTGCGTCCCTGACGTGATGAAGCCTGGCGTGGCCCCAGCTCTGGTGATATCACCCCTAATCCACTCTCCGCTACAACCTCAGACGCATTCGCGGCTATATATAAATATAGATAATTTTTGTCTCTGGAATGCTGGCATTTTCCATTACAGGAGCCTGTTTAAAAGGTAACTGTAGCGCCTTCCTCTGGGTGGCGTTACAAGGTCCTCCTTGTGGTAATGGTCGTCTCGTTCACAACCACCTAATAGCGTCACCATCCCTCTTAACGTGAAATTTTCGCTAAAGCTCAACGAAAGGATTAATTTCCTTAATTTAATAATGGTGGGCATTGGGCGTTTGCCGCTATACGTTGTCAGAAGGGGCAGACGTATTTCTGAGGGTGATGGATCCCTCGTTAATGAATGAACAGTCCTGAGATGAACTGATCGATATTAATAGTCTGGGGCTATAAGAAAATCATCTGCCTCGGCCAATCTATACTCCCTCCTGGCAAAAGACCACCAAGACCAGTACCTCACAATCAAGCTCATTACCGTGGCTCATGGGACACCCACACTAATTCACCCATTTGTACGTGCAGGTTCTGTTTGGCCAGATTGTTTGTTTCATTCTCTGTTGTTTTGTTTTAATTTCTCTTTTGCGCAGCTTTTATCTTTTATCCCTCAAATTCGTCATTATCATACACTTGTTTAGTGTTATTTTTTTAATGTTGTTTATTCTTGTTTATTCTTGTAGCTGCATGCCGTGGTGAATTCCTTGTACAAGCGCGCGTGCTTTCCGCTAACAGATCTGAATCAGATTCCGGTATCTTCTGGCTGGTAGTTCTGTTCCTCTCCTCCTTGGTAGGTTTACAGTGCCAGAGCGATTCTGGTGCCCCAATTAATAGGTCAGCTTCTCCGCTGAGCCTCCACAAGGCTGGTGGTGTTCACTGGCCTCTTTGAAAGCCGGTAGACTTGTCCACCAAGACCGAGGGGGCGATTGTTAAACTTGTTCGGTTCGGTTTCTGGTCGGCAAGACTCAAGATTCTTCGTTGACTGTGTTCAGCGAGCGAGTTGGAAAGCATGCTAGTTTGGCCACACCCAATACAAGCGATGACAGCGTACAAACAAACGAGGCAGACGATTAGGCGTGCGACGACACGGTAAATACTGGTAACTTTTAAGTACATCGCCATTCCAGTACAGTGCAGAGTGCAGTAAAATTGCATTATCATCAAACTTAGCTGTTCATGACATGGGCAGAAGGACAATCTATTCTTGAATCTGGTGGATGGGGTTTTAATGCTGTGAATCCTCCTGTCAAACTCCAGGTATGAGAAAAGCAATGCAGTTTTGGCGAGGGGGGGTGCGGCTGAATGGGTTAGGCCCATATGCCAGCAAACAGAAGGTTGCCAGTTCAAATCTCATGGTTGACAGTGACATCACTCTTTGATTCCTTGAGAAAGGCCCTTGAAGTACAAGTGTACCAGGGATTATCTGACACTGGCTGAGTTTCAGGGGGAATAACATCTAGCAATAAATGCATCTGCTAAATAAATAAAATGTATTTGTGTTAGGAGTGGGGGGGTCTCCTACCATTGTTAATTTCCCACAAAGCTTTGGCGTCTTGGAAAGTCAGACAATAGTTTAGGTTTTGGCAGAGTGCTCCCTGGGAATTCTTTTGAGCCGTCGGCTGCTGGATGAAGCCCACATGTCCGAAATCAAACAAGTAAAACCACCATTCCGTCACTTACCGATCCAAAATAAGTGTTATTTGTTAAGACGATAAGCACAAGGAACAATGTTTGAGGTTAACAAAATTGCCGAGTTTCCTGTTTAATAAGCTGGGATTGCACTATTAAAATAGTCACTCAACAAATTTTGTAGTTTTTTTACCGTTTCACTGGCAGAACGCGGTGAAATGAGTTTTATTTTTGCTCATTTATTCATTTAATGGTTCATTTAATGTTCGTGTTATTGTTGATTAAATGTCTATTATTCTGTTCAGTGTGTAGTAGTACATTAGTAATATAAGGACTAGGACTTTTTTGCATTTTAAATTTGATTTTGGAAAAAAAACATTACACTTTTGTAGAAAGCTCAGTTAATATATTGATTCCCTTAAAAATGTTTGCTACAGTATGTACCTAATGGAATAGTCCAGCTTGTATCTCTCTCAGACAGGGACCACCCTGATAGGTCTCTCTCAGACAGGGACCACCCTGATAGGTCTCTCTCTCAGACAGGGATTACCCTGATAGGTCTCTCTCTCAGACAGGGATTACCCTGACACGTCTCTCTGTCTCAGACAGGGACTACCCTGATAGGTCTCTCTCAGACAGGGATTACCCTGACACGTCTCTCTGTCTCAGACAGGGATTACCCTGATAGGTCTCTCTCTCAGACAGGGATTACCCTGATAGGTCTCTCTCTCAGACAGGGATTACCCTGATAGGTCTCTCTCAGACAGGGACCACCCTGATAGGTCTCTCTCAGAAAGGGATTACCCTGACACGTCTCTGTCTCAGACAGGGACTACCTGATATGTTTCTCTCTCAGAGATGGACTGCCGTGATACCTCTCTCTCTCGCTCTCACTCTCTCAGAAAGGGAGTACCCTCCCATGTCTCTCTCTCTCAGACAAGGACCACCCTGATAGGTCTCTCTCTCAGACAGGGACTACCCTGACAGATTTTTTTTCTCAGAAAGAGACTGCCTTGATATGTCTCACTCACTCACTAACATCTCTCTTTCTCTCTCTCTCTCTCTCTCTCTCTCCCCCCCTCAGAAAGGGACTACTCCAGCCTGTGTGAGAGGCAGCCTATCGGACGCCTGCTATTCCGTCAGTTCTGCGACACGCGGCCGGAGCTGAAGCGCTGCATCGAGTTCCTGGATGCTGTGGTCAGTTCTTTTCCATTGGCTCTGGTGGGCCATTTCCTGTGCTGAGATCTGTGGGGGGTGGGGGATGGAGATGTGGGTGGGGGGGGGGTGCTCTCTGCCCTCCCTTGCCCCTCATGCTAAGACTGGGATCATTCCGTAAGGCTCGGCCCACATAAACGCCCAGTTTGGCCTGCAGCGTGGGGCAGGATCATGAGGTGGACTGGCCTACGGTCTGGTACACAAACGCACGTGGCCTTGATCCTGGGGCTTGGCGCTGGGGCAGCTGGTCTAGCAACCCAGCTGTAAAACACTATTTTGTCATGAAAATTATGCAAAAGCCCAGCTACCACCAGGAATTCCTGCTCAACAATGTAGTCCACAATTAGCGAGCCGCACGTCAGGTATTAAGCCTTATAGATGTTGATTTGTACGCGTTCCCCTCATGCTTAGCTGCTGGCTGGGGGGGTTTCTCTGGGGAGGGGGATGCTGTCCCGCCCAATTGTGTATTTCCTGGCTGGGCTTGGGTCGACTTCCCCGCATCCAGCCCGCTAAGTCTGGGTCTCGCCATTGTTATCATCCCCCTGTGAATTTGCTGGACCATATTCATCAGACTGTAACATCTCCACACCGTTCTTCTCCCTGCTCCGCCTCTGGCTCCTCCTTCCTCTTGTGTCTTTTAAATTCCTCTTCGTTTTACGTTATCTGTCCCCCACGCTGACGTTTTTCCCAGCTCACCTTCCTCCCCCTGGCCGCTGCTCCCACAGACACTTCACAAGACCTGCTCAGCTCTGGGGAGGGGGGACTTGGGGGGGGGCGCACTGACGCACCGGAGGCAGGGGGCGCCAGAGAGCACAGGAAAACGGGGGGACCTGCACCCCCCCTCGATGCCTCTCTGCCCTCTGCTAGGGGTCTGGCTGGACGGGGACGTCCAGCAAGAGGATGGGGGGTGTTTTCAGGGGCACTAACGCAGAGATTCTGCCCCCTACAGGCTGAGTATGAGCTGGCACCGGATGAGAAGAGGAGAGACTGTGGCTTGAATGTCTTAGACACGTACTTCAATAACGGGGTAAATATTCAAGCAAGGTGTACCCCCCCCCTCCCCCCTTGACACCCAGTATTATTTATACAGCCAACCACGCTGTAGTAAGCTTACTCTCATATATATATTTTTTGTACCACTTAGGTCAACTTAAAGCGTGTCGACCGCGGTGTTTGAACGCTGAGGAAATTAGTTCACTAGGTCTGCCCATGTATCGGGGGGGGGGTCGTGCTGACCTGAAACGCTGGCCTCCTTCAACTTCCAGGTCTCCTGCCAGCTGTGTGTCATAATAGGATTAATTAGCTCCTTTGTTTGTCTTCCCGTTTTGTGCTTTTTTTTTTTTTTTTAAAGTCTGCAGCACATTTACCAGAAATACCTCAGGAAGTCGTAGCAGAGTGCAGAGAGAAACTGGAGAGGAGTCCCTGTAAGGAGCTGTTCAAGGAGTGTGCCAGGTAAGCCTGTCGGCCCTCTAGTACCCCCCTAGGGGAACCCCGCTGTCCCTCCTTTTCCCCCCCTTAGGTCCCCCCACAGTCTTGTCGCCCTGCATGCAATCAATTATACACATAAACATCCGAATTGGCCTTGCTAAATTCTCCAAGCTCAACGGCGGGGCTCAGCCCTGGGGCCCTGCTCCTGCCCGTGGCTCGTGAACCGGTCTCTGTGCTCCTGTGTGTGATGTGTCAAGGTAGGAAGACCGGTGTGGCCACTAGGGGGCGCCACAGCAAGGATTGTAGACCCTCCTTTAACATTACTGACCTTTGGTTGCAGGTGCCAAAGCAGAGGCTTTGATCTTGGCCCTGGCGCTGTGCCACGTTGAGGGGTTCACCCTGCATTTGTGTGGCGGGTTAGGGGGTCAGTGGCCCCCCCACCCCACCCTTCGGCCCCTAAACTGACACAGAAAAGCCTGAAGTAACATTGCCGGTCCCCCTCCCCATCTCCTGCCACTATATTCCAGCCAGGGTGAACAATGGTGTCCATTGAGCTTCCCCCCCCTCTGAAGGAACAGATGTAATACCCCCCCCCCCAACCACCCAAAGAAGCAAAAAGTTATAAGGGGTTTTATGAATGGAGTTTGGGGGTGAGTCTGTGCCCCCCCCCCGGCTAGCTGAGTCTGCTGCCGTCTGTGAGGAGTGAGGCGAATGGGGGGGGGGTGTATAGTTATGACTGAGTCCATTCACCTTGCTGCAGGTCAGTTGTGCTTAAATTAACGAGTGACGTCGGCGGAATCGGCCGTCGGATGTCTGAGGGGGTTTACCTGAACTGGCTCAGTCGTGGGGGGTGGGAACAGTCAAAGCTGTCATTTGTGGTGGGATGGGGGGGGGGTCATGGCTACAGTGACGTTTTTTCTTTTTTTTAAGCTACACACTTCGTGAGCCAATGAAAATGGTGCTGTAGCCCACCTTGGGTCGTGACCCCACCCCGTTCAGAAACCCGGGTTCGTGGCCGCCTTCAGGTGTTCCCGCACCATTACCGCGCCCGCACCATCTCCACTGGTCACGCCGTTCCCATCTTAAAGCCAGAAACAAGTTCCAACAGGCAATACCCAGCCCTCCCAGAACCTTTGGGAGAAAGTCTATCGGAGAACATGCCGGCGCCGCAGTTCGGTCCTGGGGGAGCCTGTGGCTGTAGCCGCGCCTGGTTTAGATCGCCGGAGAGAGACAGATTTCTGCGACATCCCCGTCGGACTTCCACTCCCTGCGGTTGCCGTGAGAGATCAGAGCCACTTTGATGCCCGCTGGCCGAATCGTGTCCCTTCGTGTCTCTGCTGCGACAGAAGCGGCATTGTAGCAACCCAGAGCCGACACTGTGTCCCCAGGCTAACCTGCTTTTGGGGGGGGGGGGGGGTAGTCTGGGGCCCCCACCAGCAGCCCCCTGTACCCCCAGACCATGCCGACTGCACCCCCCCGAACTGGGCTCACCTGACTCATCCAAAAGAATGAATCGATAGAATGATGGGGGGCAGGGGGGGCGGGGGTTGCCAGAACGGAACGCGCCCCCCCCATGCATGTCCCACATCTTCCAGCGCTCCGGAAAACATTCGTCCCTGCGGGCCTCGATTATACACGCATTCATGAAATATTTAACGAGCTCCGTAAGCGAGATTGCAGATGGTCCGGCTGACGTGGAGAGAAGCTCTCTGGCCGCCTTCGCTGCCCTAGGCACTCACGGTCAGTCGGGCCGATATTATTCAGACCGAGGCCATTAATTGTGTTTTTTTATTTCTGGGGTGGGACATTTTAGCCATAAACATCATCAGACCTCATTAACGTACTCTCTGCGGCATGCTCCTCACAAATGGGTTGGGCGGCGGTGGTCCTGTGGGGGTTTTCCATGGTTCACTAAGGCCCCGACCCCCCCCACAGAGAAATCTTATGGTCAGTAAGACATTAAGCTGCATTCATTGATTGCCTGAGATGGGACTTCCGATTTCCCTACACTGCTTAAGAGCGCCATATGCATCCATTAAAGTGTTACGAGACGTGGCTCGCATCACTCGATACGTAGGAAACGCCAACATCACATGGCTGGAGGGCGGGCTGGGCCCAGCCAACCAGAGGCGAGCGTCCAGGTGTCGGCTTAACCTGCCGGCCAATGAGGCGTGGCCCACGTTATTTTTGTCTGTTAGGTCCTGCGAAGGCTTACGTCCGTCTCAGTGTGTTATGGGAACAGGACGTGTCTTAGGGAAGCTTCTGGCTGACGAGGACTAGTTGGGGGCATGTGTGCTAGGGCCGTACACCCCCATGACAGGCTCCGCACACCTGGGTCGCCGCTCAGAGCACAGTGTGCGTCATTCAGGCATGGAGATGGCACCCCCCTGGTGGCGGAGTGGCACTTTCCAGCCGGGACGGAACTACGTCATAGCCCCCCCCGCCCCCCGCACCCGTCTTAGCTTCTTCATTTGTTTTTTCTTCCATCTCACAAAAGACGTATTGTTTAGTCCGCCCCCCCCCCCCCCCGTCTGGGTGGGCCACCCCGTTACCACAGCGAGGTCTGGACGACCCCCCTACCCCCGTGTTTAGATTCTGCCATTGTTCCGTGGCCCGCTGCCCCCAGCAGGCGGGGAGGCCCGGTACCATAGGCGGAGCGTCCACGGCGGGGCCCGGCGGCCCCCGGCGGCCCCCGTGCCAGATGGCGCTCTGACGCGCCCTTTCGTTGCCTGTTGCTTTTGACGTCAGCCCCGAACATCAAAGCGCGGGGGGTGTCGTAAACGGCGAGCTCGCCCCTGAAAGATCCGCCTGTGAAGTACCTGCCAACAGCCCCCCCACCACCCTCCCCCGCTGGCAGGCGGGTAAAACGTGCGGCATTCTGTGCTTGTGCCCGGAGCCTGGCAGTCGCACCTCTCCCGCTGGCCTGTAGGGGGCGCCATGACCGGACGTTCAGCGACAGCCTTCATGGGGTGCCCGTGCGTGTGAGGCCCGGTCCGAATTCCAGCTTAAGTGGTTCTGTTCCGTTTTTCCATTCCTGCCATTTGTTTTGCATGGCTGACTGCAGGCAAACCTGTTTCTGATTAAGGCTCCTTTAAACTGCACCGGCTTATTATCCTGAAGTTGAGGAGGAAACAGGGGGGGGGGGGATGGAGCCCCCAGCATTGACATGGACCTGCTGCACCTCCCCCGCTCCCCGAAATAACTGGACTGGGTCCTGCCCCCCCCGTGTCGACAACCCGGCTCAGGGGATTCAACCACATCCCTAAAAGATTGGCGGAGCCTCGCACCTTGTTCCGGCCCTTGGGTCGCGTTTACAGACACGGGGCTGGAGCCCTTTGTGGCTGCTGCCGGTTGTTTGCAGTCCCAAACGGGCCGGGAGGTCGCCGTGACGAAACCCGTCTGTGTCAGGAACCCCCCCGGTCATTGGCCCCCTCTCACGGGCCTGGGTCTCATCAGGGGAGGGGGGAGTTGGGCGCCGGCATATGGGATGGCCCAGTTCAGCTGGATGCCATCGGGGGTGATCCGGTCCATACGGACACCTTCCTGCTATTGTTTGTTACTCTAGTCACCTTCGTATGTTTTCGCTCGAATAGGTGCATGACCCCTTTTGATATGGTCCAGATGTGCGCCGGTCCTGCTCGGTGGGGGCGGAGGCGGGGCCACTGTCCGGCAACAGCCCCTCCCTCCTGACGGTCAGAAATGCACCCCTCCTTAGCTGGCTGCGATTTGGGGCCGTCGGCTTTGTTTTATCCTGTTGGGGGGTGGGGGGGCGTTTATTTTGGAATGGAGCGGTTGAGGTTATCACAGGGCAGGCAGGGAGGCTGAGGAGTACCAGGTACCGCGCTACACGACTCCGCGGCGCCGGCGTGCGGCTTTCCCCGCCCCTCCCCGCCCGTGAGAGCGTCCTCCTGTTTTCTCTCCCGTCCGCTAACTCGGTCCCCCCCTCCCTGTTTTATTTTCTCTCCCCCCTCTCACAGGATCGTCCGCGAGTATCTGAGTGGGGCCCCGTTCACCGCCTACCAAGAAACTATGTACTTCTCTCGGTTTCTGCAGTGGAAGTGGCTGGAAAGGTGGGCGTGGCCGTCTCTGGCCAATCACAGCCGCGCGTTAGGGCCTTCAGGTTACATAATCAAACGTAACAGAAAGTCCATTGTTGATCTACTTACAAAGAATTATCCATCCATCCATTAATTTTCTGTAACCGCTTGTCCTGCGCCTGGAGTCTATCCCGGAGGCTACAGAAGCACAAATTATATAGATCTGTATGGTGGCTTTTATAGGCAATAATATACAGTAAATTGAAATGACTTATGGGTAAAAAAACAGCTATATCTGCTATGTATCTGTGGAACAACAGTAGCAAACATTATGAATTACCGGAATTAATGAAAGACTTTATCATCCATTTACACACATTGCCTGTTAAAGTGAATTCAAACATGCACCAGGAGGCCAATTAATGTTTTTTTTTCCCCTCTCCTCTGCGACCCGTAGTAATTGAATCGTTTATTTTGCAGGCAACCCGTAACCAAAAATACCTTCAGACATTACAGAGTGCTAGGAAAGGGTGGCTTTGGCGAGGTAAGTCACTGCCTGCTCCCGGCAGCTCTCTGCCGGCGCGATATCGCCCGATTTCCCGCATTTAGTGTGCATCCGTGCGGCTCCCCCCTGCGCCCCCCCAGTGCCCTGACGCCGGGTCGTGCCGTCCGCAGGTCTGTGCCTGCCAGGTACGAGCCACGGGCAAGATGTACGCCTGCAAAAAGCTGGAGAAGAAGAGGGTGAAGAAGCGGAAAGGGGAAGCCATGGCTCTGAATGAGAAGCGTATTTTAGAGAAAGTCAACAGCAGCTTTGTGGTAAGTTGCCCTTTGTGTTCGTCGCCACCTGGGTGTGTGGGCTCGTCCTGTGCCCCCCTCCCACTCTGCCCAACGACAGTGGAGGTACTGGGCTTCCTGGGACAGTACGGCATCGTACCCCGGTCTGGGAACTACAGACGGGGTAGACCCTGCTACCAAAAGCTACCAAAAGCTACCGAAAGCTACCGAAAGCTACCGAAAGGTCTCAGAGTTACTTGCCAACTGTTGCCAGATCCAAGGCCGACTTGCTGTTAAAATCCCGCCTGCTTTGGTATTTACAGTCAGCAGGCCTGGCAAACTTTTCCTGCAGGTCTGTGCTTCTCCAGACGAGGAGAGCGACAGGCGTGTTTACGAGCCGCTCCAGCACCAGCCTCGCTCGTGTTAACGTTGTAATTAACGTTGTAGTTACGCTGTTTGAAAGGCTGTCATCATATGTCTCACTCCACCCCCCCCACACC